TTGCAGGAATTTATTAACTGGGAATTACACGCTTGTGATTTAGCTGGGCACTTCAGTCGGTCTAAAACTATTGCCTCAATTGAACAATATTTCTTCTGTCCTAGCCTTAAGAGGACGTCAGTAGGTTGATTAAAAGATGTTATACGTGTCAGCTTGCGAAACAACGTAAACAAAATACGGGTCTCTACATTCCTCTCCCTGTGCCTAATCGCCCCTGGCAAGATGTGAGTATGGATTTTGTCTTAGGACTACCAAAGACTCTTAGGAAGCATGACTCAATCTACGTGGTAGTTGATAGGTTCTCTAAAATGACCCATTTCCTCCCTTGTGGCAAGACCTTTGATGCTTCCTAAATTGCCAAGATTTATTTTGATGAGATTGTCCGGCTACATGGATTATCCAAAACAATAGTGTCTGACAGGGATGAAAAGTTTACTAGTTATTTTTGAAAAACTCTATGGCATAAGATGGGCACCAAACTTCAATTCTCCACAACCTTTCATCCTCAAACGTGCGGCAGACTTAAGTAGTCAATAGGAGCTTAAGCAACCTATTAAGAACTTTAGTAGGAGAAAATATTAGAGATTGGGACTCCAAATTGACTATAGCTGAATTTGACTATAACAACTTTGTTAACCGAATCACAGGTCTAAGTCCTCCTGAAATTGTTTATGGGTACCAACCTAAACAACCTATAGATTTGATCCCTATGAGTCATAAGTATAGAGCATCTGAGTCTGCATCTGCATTTGCATCACATCTACAAGAATTGCATAAGGAAATTAATAAAAAAATTGAACAAAGCAATGCTAACTATAAACTTAATGCGGATCTCAAGAAACGATTCAAAGAATTTGAAGTTGGAAACTTTGTAATGGTTCGGATTCGTCCGAAGTGGTTCCCATAAGGGATCCTTAAAAAAGTTAATGTGAGAAGCGAGGGACATTTCAAGATAGCTTCAAAAATAAATAGTAATGCTTATGTGCTAGACTTTCCTGAAGGTTTTAACATTAATCCTACGTTTAACATCGAAGATCTAGTAGCCTTTAAAGGTCTAGAGTTCAACTCCTCTAATCCACTAAATAAGGAGCTTGTGTGAACCTACCTGGTGAGAACCCTAGACTACCTCCACTCCCAAACATCCCTACTTTATCCACTGCGGAGAAGGTTGAAGCAATACTTAGTGATGATCATACCTGTTAATGGCGAATGGCGCACCATGGCGCAAAGGTCCCTTTGGAGCCATGGCGCATAGCACACGGCGCGACGCACGCCATTTTGAACATTGCGCAAACTAAATAAAATTATAAATAATAAATATGAATATGAAATATCATTAAAAAATGAAAGACAAACTATCATAATAATGAAAAACAAGCGTGTACATAGCGGTACCGAGCATGTACCTAAAGGTACCGACCATATACCGAGTAGTACCGAGCATGTACATAGCGATACCGAGCAGTACCGAGCATGTACATAGCAATACCGAGCATGTACTTAGCAGTACCGAGCAGTACCGAGCATGTACATAGTGATATTGAGCGGTACCGAGCATGTACTTAGCTGTACCGAGCATGTACCGAGCGGTACCGAGCATGTACATAGCAATACCGAGCATATACCGAGTGGTACCAAGTATGTACATAGCAATACCGAGCATGTACTTAGCGGTACCGAGCATGTACCGAGCAATACCGAGTGGTACCGATCACTCGGTATTGGCAGAAGCACTACTGCAGGACGATTCGGCGGAAGCAACAATTTGGCGCGCAATTTTGTGTCGTGCGCCATGCGTCATGGCTCACATGTGGCGTAAATAGCGCGCGCTATTTTAAACACATGCGCCTCGCCAAAAACATAGCGTCGTAGGTGCGCCGCGCCGTGCGCCATGGCGCATGGGGATGATATTATTTCCACTAAAAAGATGGTGGCCGCTGAAGTTATGTAGTTCAATGGACAGGGAAACCGGAGACGGAGAAAATGTGGATCGACCGCGATGAGCTGCAGAGATTGGATCCTGATCTATTGGAGTGATACGAGAGTTCCAGAGATACTTACTCGACGGGATCAAGCTTTCTCCCACCTGGGGAGAATGATCAGGATATCACTCAGAGATTCCGACGTGTGTACCGACGACGGAATCGTAGATCCACGGCTACGATTCAAAGTCTTTACTTTTGATGTATTTTATGTTTTATTTATTTAACATTTCAGTTTTCCTAGTTTACCTTTATAGGGAGTGTTTTTTTATTGTAGCCCTGAGGGCAATTGAGTAATTTTCTTTTCTTTGTGATTGAGACCCATATATAGCGATCTTATGCTATGTAAGAGGCTAATGAATGATTGAATGAAATTTGATGTTTGTTTTCTTCATCTTGTGTGTGCACTAGAGAGAAGAGATCCCGTGGTGAGGGCAAGCGCAATACCCACCAATCATTGGAAGAGTCTGTGGCTCGTGACTTATTTTCTTTTTCCTTGTTCTTTTTCCCGAACCGGCCGGCCATCTACACCTCCAACCACCGGCCGTAAGCTTCCTTGGCCCCAATCGTCGACCACTTCTCCCCCATCACCCAACCACTTGATCCGTAGCTCTCCTCCCCACCCGCCACCCGACACCAACATATCCCTCTCCCCCCCTTACCGTCGGGCCCACCTCTATGCTCCCCGCCATAAGGATGATTCCAATCATCTTAATGGTTTCCTAAATTAGCTCAAGCAAGAAAGGAAGGATTGTGGATTATTTGAAATTCAAATTTGAATTTCAAATACTTTATATATTTATAAATTCTAAATTAGGAAAGTGTTTAAATCTAAGTCTAATTTAAATTTAAATTAAGATTAGATTGGATTTATTATTCTTCTTCCTAAATTACAAGACTTATTTGGAAGCTTTTAAAACCCTCCCCAATTCCCTCCTTCTCATGCCGCCAGCCCCATCATTGGGCTCCCCATGGTTTCTCCTCTTTAAGCCCTAAGCCTAATTTGAATTTGAAATCAATTTTCAAATTCAATTCCCTCCCAAATTATTCAAATCTAAAATTAATTTCAGATTTATTGGCAATCACATCTCCCAAACCCTAGACCTAGATCTCATATAACCCAAGCCTTCTCACTCTCCCTCTTTGGCCACCGCCCCTTTCCCCTTCTCCTTGCTCCCTTGGAAATCCTAAATCCTTCATGAGTTTTAAAGCAAAGAAGAGAAGACAAGATCTATCCTCCTTCTACCATTAATGCATGGCCAACCCTAAGGTCGACCACGAATTCGCCTACAACGCTCAAGGAGAAATTGATATTTTGTTATCCCCTATCTTTGATCCAAACTGGGAATACAAGGATTCTGTGGAAAGCAACATCGACCACATACTCTATCAACTCGCCGAGAAGATTGACAAACAAAGACCAACGGGACATTGACAAATCATCGGCCGACCACCTACCCCTCCTCCGGCTACTTCTCCGGCTAACAAGACCCTACGCAGCACTTGTCTTGTGGTGGCATCTCTAGGGTTGTTTCTACCCTTTCTCAGGTAAACCCCAACTTCAAGAACGAGAGTAAAAAAACTCAAGGTGAAAACTTCACATTGTTACACTATGGATTATTGCTTCATTTCCATTAGTTTTACTTTCTTTTTTTTGTGTTACTTGCAAGAGCCTTGTTAATCCCTTTTGTAATCGCTTGCTATTACTTAATCTCCTAACAGAAAATTCTAAGATTCAACTTGGTGAAACATATGTTTTTATTAATTAGCAAAGGAAAGTTCAAATTATTATTAATTTCCAAAAACAATTCTTGTTCACTTGTATGTTTCAAATCACTTGATTTATTATAAGTTGAGAGTCGTCGAAGATTCGGAGATTTCGAATTCTGACGTCAATTGCAATCTCCAATTCCACTATTAGAGCTTCATACTCGGCTTAATTGTTGGTTTGAGGTTCAGTTAGACTGAATGAAAATCTCATTATGCCTCCTCCAGGTGCTATGAAAATGAGGCCGATGCCGGCTTGGGCCCTAACAAAATTCAGAGGTCGGGCAAGTTTTATCGATGATGCCCCATCGAAGTACATCTCCCAAAATGATAGTTGTTCATTTTTCTCGATCTGTATGATTTGCTCGTTGGGCAAATCATCGAGTGGAGATTCTGCTGGGATTGGATATATGGCGAGAAAATCTACCAAAGGTTATCCCTTTACCGCCTTTTGTGACATATATGTGATATCAAACTGTAGTAGTATTATTGCCCGCCTAGCTAAACGACCTATCAACACTGGTCTTGTAATCAAGAATTTCAACGGATCGATCTTTAATATCAACATATTTTTGTGAGATAGCATGTAGTGGCGGAGTTTCTGAACTGCGAAAATCAATGCCAGACAATGCTTCTCAATTGGGGAGTACCACACTTATGCTCCGATTAATCTCCGGCTAATATAATAGAGTGCATTTTCTTTGCCCTCTTCATTGTATTGGGCCAATAATGCTCCATGAGACTCTTCAAGTGCCGCTGTGTACAGTATAAGAAGCTTCCCCAAAATTGGTTCTGCAAGAATGGGGGGATTTAATAGGTACTTTTTAATATTGTCAAACGCTTCCTAGCACTCTACATCCCATTTGAAGCATACATCTTTGTTCACCAGCTTTGAAATAGTTCGCACCTACCCGATAAATTTGATATAAACTGCTGGATGAAGGCCAATTGCTCTTATAACGAGCGAAGCTGTCGAAGGTTTCTAGGAGGTGGCATCTCCATAATTGTCTTGATTTTATTAGGGTCAATTTCGATTCCTCGATGTCAAACAACGTATCCCAGAAATTTACCGGAGGACACTCCAAAGGAACATTTGAGAGGGTTCATCTTCAAATCGAATTTTCTAATCCTCTCAAATACGATCCTTATGTCGTTTAAATAATATTTTCGGTTCATGCTCATGACGACGAGGCCATCTACAGAGCACTCGACCTTCTAATGTATTAATTCATCAAAGATACGTGTCATTACCCGTTGGTAGGTGGCACCAGCGTTCTTCAGGCCGAAGGGCATGACCGTGTAGCAAAAAATGCTGATGGGTGTTCTGAATGATGTGTATTTTTCATCCTCATATGCCATCTTGATTTGATTGTAGCCCGATGATCCGTCCATAAATGAGAACATATTATAGTTTGATGTATTGTCCACTAGGAGTTCGAACACTGGGAGCAGAAAGTCATCTTTTAGACACGCTTTGTTGAGATCACAAAAATCAATACAGATACAAATCTTACCATTCTTCTTCTTTACATGGATGATGTTGGCGATCCAATCGGCATACTTTTCCTCTCGGAAAAAGCCCACTTCTATGAGCTTCTTGGTTTCAGCAATCACCTCTTCTTCAATTTCTAATCTCATTCTTCTTCGAGCTTGCTTGACAGGTACTGCATTAGGCTTGATGACTAATCTGTGAATCACTACATTAGAGGATAAGCCAGACATCTCAGCGTATGACCACATAAAGTAGTCCCTAAATTCACAGAGAAGTTATTTCATTCCCTCCACATGGTCTTATCGTAGAAGAGAGCTAATAAAGGTTGGGCGATGGTCCTTCTCAGTCCCCAAATTAATCTCTTTTAGCTCATCCATAGTGGCCGCCTGTCCACCATCTTTGAGCTCTTCAGGTGCAGGCTTGGCCTTTACAGGCTGATCATCATAAACGTCAACTCTATAAATCTCTTCAGCGCCACCGTCATCAGATTCAATTTCCCTGATGTGATGGCATGACACGTCTCTTTTAGGGGGTGCTTTTGCATGGTGAATCTGAGACCTCTCCTTGCGAGAATCTCTTCTTCGCAATGTATGAGAATTTCTTAAATACCAAAGTCTTAAGCAGAGGCGAAGTTATAATGCAGGAGTGAATTCTAGCCTGCTTTCGTAACATCTTATGGATATTTCCAATAATTAATCTGGGCATTCTCGTAGGCATTAACTCCCTGTGCTCGATGGGCCTATGGAACCAGTCTCAATTCCCTTCTTCTTCACGCTCTCCAAATTTATAAAATAGGGTTCCTGGTACGCCCTTATTAACTTGGGATTTTCAAAATTATGTACATTTCAAGTAATGATTTCTTTGTAATGTTGCGGGGGAACAACAAGGACGAAAAGAGAGAAAGGGAGAAAGTTACCTTCAAAGCCAGCGAGCCAACGAGCTCCCGTTGTTTCTTCTTATCAAAATGTCGTAACTTATGATCCGACAGGAAGGGAAAGTCGTCGAAGGAGCGCAGTCGAACAGCCACAAAGGAGCCAAAGAAGCGACGCGTGTAATCTCTACAGCTCCTATGAAGCATGCACCGCAACAACAGGACGAAGCGAAGAGTGAAAGGCAAAACCCCTAGACGTAGCTAGTTATTATTGATTAAACTTATTAATATAATTTAAATATTAATAATAAGCAAATTAATTAAAAATACTTAATAGTATAATATAGACATAAATTAATTGACTAATTAGTAATATAATTTATTAATTAAATATTATATAAATTACCTTGTTAATATAAATTAAAATATATATTATTAAATATAATAATTAATAAGTATTCAATAAATAATTATGAGTAGCTTGTACGTCAGTAATGCTCGGTACGAGCAGTATGCTCGTACTAAGCAAGTATATGCTCGGTACCACTTTGTGGTACATTGCTCGGTACCAATAGGTACAATGCTCGGTACAAATAGGTCAACGCCTCAGTCCAAAGCCTATATCACTAGGTTACATCTCGATATTGCTCAGTACACGCTTGGTACCCCGGAGCCGTACCGTTCAAGTTCCGAGCCAATACCACTCGGTAACCGAGCAGTAACATGCCTCGGCACTGGGTTATATTACTTTATTTTCTATCATTTTTAGGCTTACGCCTCGATCCGCCTCGAGGCTTACGCCTCGCCTCGCTTAGCCAAAACGCCTCGATTCCCGATTTTGCCTTTTAAAACGTTGCACATGACTACACATTCATTGTCTGAAATTAATAAATTTCTATTCTTTTTAGAGTACATGTTGCACTTCATTCATATAGATAGACTCGTAGTCGTAATCATCATCTGAATATTTTGTCTTCTTTTTTCCCCATAGCTGGTGATTGGCATATTCCTAAGATTTAGCAGGGATGGCATCATCCTCGTCTGTGCTACTCCCAAGGTAAGGCACATGTTGTCTCGATCTAGAAGTAATCACAACTTTGGGAAGAGTCAGCGTTGCCTTCTTTCTCCCCTCTTTTCTTTTTCTCATCTTCTTGTTTGGGCTACTTCACAGTTTTTGGATTTGCTACCTTAGTCTCGAAAGAACTCGATGGCTTTGATTTTTTGGGGATGAAGTACCTAGCATCCTTATAGATTTTCACCTCATGAACCCCAGAGGGTTGAATATCACGAGAGATTCTGAACTCCTTTCCATCCCTAATATACTTCATACATTAATGCAGTGTTGACGGGACAATGCCATAATCGTGCAACCACGTGTGACCCAGCAACACATTAAATGAGGTGTCCACGCAATCACATGGAATTTTGCCTCGATATAGAGTTCTCTGAATACTAGAGAGAGCATGAAGGATCCTAGGGTCTTTTGCCCCTTCTCATTGAATATGTGCACCATTAACTTGTCTTACCAGAGGTGCTTCATATTGAGACAAAAGTGATCTCAGTGCTTTCAAGCTTATAAGATTGATAGAAGACCCGGGTTTAATAAAAATTAGGCTGATTATCATCCCGTCATCCTTTGCAGTAATATATAGAGGGCGATTATGGTATGCCACTCCGAGCATCATGTTGTTCTCGATGAAAATAATGATCGGTTCATTTCGAGCTTGCAAGACCTCAGTTAAGTTACACTCAGCAAAATATGCTTCGTATCTTTCGGGGTCCCTAAGAGCCTAAATCAAGGTGTCACCAAAACGTCATATATGCTGAGCTGTGCTGGGATTTTTCTCAGATGGGATAGGATATTATAATTTATTCCTTTTGTAGGAGTATCTTTCCTTTTTGGGTCCATGGGGTTAATGTCTTCATTTACAACTATCTCCTTCCCTCTGTCTTTATTAGGGATCTCTTTCTTCGGTGGAGATGGTAGTGTCTTACCACTTTCTAACTGTACTTGGGTGATCACCTCCTTCTCATACTCATTTGATGGTGCATTTTCTTCAGAGTCAACCATCATTGCATCTGGAGATTCCTCCGTTGATTTAGAGTTACTGTTCAAGTTTACCTACACCATTTACAAAGCAATATCGAGCTCTAATTCATCATCTTCTAGAAAATATAGATCCTACAGCACACTGTAATCCATTGGCGACACCATCATATAAGATTAAGAGGGTGCTTCTTTTTCACTTTTGGTCGGAGCTATTGGTGTCATCGAAATAACCCGACAAGTTTCCACGGGGAATGGATCCTCGTCGGTCTCTTTTCCCTCAACTTTGAGCTCCACCGTAAAATCAACAAACATAATGGGGCGTCTCGAAGTCTGGTAGTATTCATCCAAATTGTCGATAACCCTTTGGGTTGCAGTCTTTTTCTCTTTAGGCTTCCTCAATTTGGTCTTCTTCTTGGAGGATTTTATCTTTCCAAACTTTGAAGAACCAACTTGGTTGAAATATTGTTTCGATGATAATGCTCGCACAGTAGGCAGTGCCTTAGGATCTAAAACCGGTTCCATAGGAGACTTCTATTTCACACCCGGAACTCTTTAAAGCTGCCTTAACATTTTCACAATTTTCTTAGAGACCACAGTCTCCCACTGTTCTTCTTGAATCGGCTTCTTTCATTTTTTTTTTCTTTAACAGGGAGTACGGAGGAAGTCGTAACTGTCTGGGTTGATTTTTTTCTAGGATTAGTCAACATATTATCTAACAATATGAGCTCTGCCTTCTGGTATTTTCTTTAGAGCCAATCGTTGAAGATGTAGCAATCTTCACTGGGATGGTCGAGCACTCGGTGATATGGGCAGTAATTTGGATTGTCAATTTCTTTCGAATCCTCTCGCTTTTTGCACTCTGGTAGTTTCAAACCTGCTTTTAACGCCTATTGAAATAACTTGACGACACTCTCTTTTATAATGAATATTTCTTATTTATCTTGTCTTTGAGAGATGGAAACGTTCTATCATCGATTCCTATTGCTTGCCTCAGGCGTTCTCCTCCACCTTGAAAAATTCGTGGCCTATCATTCCCCCCAAGTATCAGATTCAATTGGAGGTTAGGGTTGTAGACTTGTTTTGGCTTTTCATCATACAACATTAGTTGTTTGTGTTTGTTTACATTATAAACCACTTGCTTCCCCTTACTCGGCTTGAGGGAGGACATAGAATAGGTTTCACCTTTCTTAGCATATGAGGCTTTAGCTTTCTTGAGCTTATTAGAGTGGCATTCTAATCACGACAAATTTAACTTCTCAAACTTGGCCACCCTATCCAGCAGATCCTGAAATGTGGTAATTGTAGCCATTCATAAGAATGATTGCATCTTATTGTTGATGTTTCCCATTAATAATTACACGGCGGGTTCTTCCTCGAGCTGCTACTCACATTTCAGGCTCAAGTTACACCGAGTTATATATTTTGATACTGACTCCTCTTTCTTCTATTTATCTAAAGTGAGGTCAGCGATCATAATCTTCTCGGTCACACTGACGAATCTCTTTACAAATATAGCCTATAATTCTGCAAAAGTTTTCACATAGTCATTTGGCAACTCAACATACCATTCTTAAGCAGTTGATGTCAAACTGTTAACGAACTGCTAAAAGAGTAGGGCGTCATTTTCCCCTGTATTCCCGTAAGTGATCTTGAATTATACCAAGTGCTCCTACAATTATTATTACCATTGAACGTATGGAATTTCGGGACAGAGTACCCTTTCGGATACAACACTTGGTCATATTCGGTAGGGTACGGGTGACCCTTGCTCACTAATTTTTTCGCTTGGTCAACAGCTATAGTTGTCTTGATCTTCTCAGTGATGATTCCTTCCAACTGTGCAACAGTAATAGGTTTGCGAATGGGGATGGTTGCAAGAAGAGGCAAAGGGAGGTTGAGATTTGGTGTAGGGATGGATGGTCACGAGCTTCACAGTAGGTGAAGAAGTAGAGTGGAGGTGTTGGAGTTGTGGTTAGGGCTCGGCGGCTGGATTGGAGGAATCGACAAGGAATCAGAAGGCTCGGGAGGTTCTGTGTGCATGAAAAATGAGCGAGGGGAAGAAGGAAATGTTTGTAGATTTCGACAAAGGGAGGAAAAGTAGAAGAAATGAATCAAGAGCCTCGAATGCTCTTTTTAACGACATAAAAAGAGTACGATTCAGCGGAGCTCCTGCAGGAATCGCGATTTTTTGCAGAATTTTGGGATTACGTGAATTTTCTTTTGATTTTGATGATGATTTTTTGTCTTTTTTTCTTTTTTTCTTTTTGATTTGATGTTGAGGTCAACAGAGCTGTTAGATGAGTTGCATG